AAACACATACCCATGTCTGTTGTGTATGTGAGTGATACTGTGCGCTCCAGGTTTATGCGCGCCCGCACACAAACACACGCAGCGCCAAGAGAGCAACGCCTGCGACTGCCAGGTGGCACTCGATAACTGGCAATGTCTAGACGCACGAGGCAGTAGATGGCAGGCGACAACGGCTGAGCAAGCAGTGCGCTTGGTGGATGTATGGCAACGGGGTGGGCGACGTGGATGATTCAGAGGAGAGGTGGGCGACATGGGCGGCTTGCTAATGGGCACAACTACGGCATGGGCGACCGAGCAAGCTACGAATGGCAATGGCGGGGCGAGCCGTGCACCATCATCGCCATTCTCCACATCCCCCATTCGCCTTTGTGTTCTCAGATGACAGTCGATAACGGCTGCGCCGCAAGTTTGTGTTAGCATTGAGGACACCACAATGACTGCACGAGGGAGGTGGTTGATACACAGCTTCTCCCAGGGCAGATTGCTTGAGTGGATGACGTGGCAAGCGAACGCATTGTCAACTCCACAGCGCCACCGCGCGACTTAATCGTCAAGAAATATGTTAGACAAAGTAAAAGTATACCTGGTTTCTAGCACTTTGTCGCCCACCTCCACCATTCCCGTTTTGTCAGCATTTCCAGAGGGAGCGATGGCGTCAACGTAAGTGCCGCCATCAGCCCCTTTGTAGAACTTGAGACCGATGGGCTTCTCCACTTCGATTTCGTACTCGTCCTCTTTCAGCGCCGCCATAGCCGTTCCTGGAGTCCCTGAGCGGGCAAACCCCGTCGTTGTGGTGGAGGGTTGCCTGTGCCCCGCCGCCATACCCTTTGCTGCGCTTCCAGCCTGCCATTCCGACTCCATCACCCCGAAGAGCGTTGACCGCCTGATGGTCAACGACGAACGAGACGCCACGTGGCAGCCATGGTGAAGAGCAGCAGGAGTCAATGCCAGAGAAGAGGAAGAGGAAGAGGAAGAGGATGCCCCCGCGGCTCGGCTGGTTGCAACAGCCACGGTGGCAGCTGTCGCCCCTCCTGCCGCCATGGCGGTTCCAACTACTGCCCTGACCGCCATAGCTACTCTCTCTCTCCCTCTCTCGCTCTGCGGCTCGCTCGCCCCCTCGCTCCTGTGTCAGCAGCGAGTGCAGGGGGAGAGAGGGGGAGAGAGGGGGGGAGATCGAGCGAGCGAGCGAGCGAGTGCCTGGAACGCGCCTTGGAGCACCGATCCACCCCGCAAAGTTCTTCTCCCCTTCTCCCCCCTCCCTTCCTCCTCCTCCCCTCCTCCTCCCCTCCTTCTTCTCCTCCCCTCCCCTCCCCTCCCCCCCCCCCCCCCCCCCCCCCCCCCCCCCCCCCCCCCCCTCCCCTCCCCCCTCCCCTCCCCCCCCGCCTAATCGGCAAGCCTTCGTCGGCCACAACCGCCAACCTCGCGCCGGACCACACCCGCCACATGCGAATCTAGATCGAATCTCGAAACAAACAAACGTACAGAAAAAGACGGGAGCTGAAAAAAAGAGGGAACAAGGAAGGGAGGGGGAAAAAGAAAAAACAAATTGAAAAACGAGGGGTCGGAACCCGACGCTTCAACTGCGACGCGCGCGGCAAAACAGACAACACAAACGCCGAGGGCGCAACGTGGACCCCGCGATCGGCCAGTTTTTCTTTTTTGTTTTTCGATTTTTACCGGCCGGCATGCCGGGATGGCGGGATGGCGGGGAGACGCGCGATGCCGATTTTCCAGGAGGAACGACTCTGTACACTACACACCGATATCGAGATCTTGCCGCCTAGTGGCCGTGACTATTAGTAGGATTTGGCCGCAAATGCGTCCAGATGCCTCTTGCGAAATCACAATGTGCGGATGCTCCGATTCACGGCCATCGACGACCAAGACGTGGCCATGCCCATTCTCCAGACCAATAGCAGGTCCGATCAGGCACAGCAACAGATCGCCGGCGGTAAACGCGAAGCCTTGCGCATTGAGCACTGCGGACGCGTCCCGCGTCTGAAGTCCTATCCGCTGACATGGCATCAGTAGTGGCTCACATCCAGGCTCTGCCTCCGATGCATATTTTGGGCCTCGCCACACCACTCCCAAAACGAAAACATACGAGTGCATCTTCACGCAGAGAGTGCCAAGATGGATCCCTTACTGATACCACGCTGGGCGTGGGGCCACAGCCAGGAGGGTTGGCGCATCGCTGGAGCAGGCAACATGAAGAAACCCCCACCTCAGGGCATACTAACACTGGGACCTGTAATCCCAAACTCTCTCTCTCTCTCTCTCTATCTCTCTCTCTCTCTCTCTCTCTCTCTGTTGTGTGTGTGTGTGTGTGTGTTGTCATATTCGCTATACACTCAAAAAAAGCATGACTGTACCAGACCGTTTCGTCGGACTTTCACCGACTCATCAGGAGGTTGAACCCCGACAGTCTGCCCAAGATGCATTTGACTATGTGTGTGTGTGTGTGTGTGTGTGTGTGTGTGCGTGTGTGTTCGTGTGTGTGTGTGCAGCGCAGGGTGCTGCTCCAGTGGGGACTCCTGTCTGCCCAGGAACTGGGCTGGCCCAGCTGTAAGTAGCACTGGGCCTGGGTGCTGTGCCCATGACCTGCAATCTGGGCCTCAAGATCGTCAGTCCGATCCACGGTCCAGATCGCAGGAAAAAGTCATGGTCCTGGGCGTGGCCTAAAACAGCCTGCCTGGGCCCCTCCCGGACACGCAGGCCTTCCCTGCGGATGCAGAACGGAATGTCCACTACTGGATGAAACAGAACCTGGCCCAAAAGGGCCCAGTCGCGAGCCTGCCTGAAGGAGGCCTCAGTCGTGGCCTACGTCCGAACAGGCCACCAGTCTGTTCCGACATCTGCAAGTCCGAATCCTAAAGGAGACAAAAATAGAACAGACAAAGAGTCAGCAAAAAATAAATAAACAAACAAATAAATAAATAAATAAATAAATGCTGCCTCAAACCTGGACCTGCGGCCTGAAAAGTGGTTGTGGACCTCCAGGTCGCATGCCTGGGATGGGCAAGCAGCCTGGGGTCCTTCAGCAACTGTCGGGGCCCCGAAATGGGGCCCGTGTGCAGTTGCAGCATGCAACCCCCCCCCCCCCCTTATGAAGTCGAGCTGGGGCAAGGGCGAAGCTGACGATCCGATGGTGGAACTTGGACGCGAGTACGACATAGAGCTGCAGGTGTCGGCTTGCCTTGCTGTTTGCGTTTGTGCGAGGACATAGGGGGCCGTAGCCTGGAGTTCCGCACATGTCAACCTTATGGCTACAATGGGAAAAGTGTACCAAGTACTCCGTCGGCATGTTGCGGAAGCACCGCTGCGAAATGATGTCGCCGACCTCCTGAAAACCATCCATGGAGGGTGGGTCTTGCGATCGTCACCCGAGAAAGCCGTCACATTCTGCCGAAACGAAAGACCAGGTAGACGGGCAAGTGGGTGGGCACCTGAATTACAAATGAGGGTCCTTCCGGTGTGTCTCCAGCGGGCGCTACAATGTGCGTAGGCCCCATTTGGAAGGAGCTTGCGAGCGATATCTTGCTCGAGGCTGAATTCCGCGATAGAGCCCAAATAAGGTCGCCCACGCAGAACAGACAAGGAAGACATTGACGATTGGCTTGACGGCTCATGCGTTGCTGCGTCATCGACATCTGGTCCCATGCCTTGACAAGGAGCTCTTGCATCCGTCGAATGAAGGTAAGGTGGTCGTCGCTCTCAGTCGTCTGTGGAATGATGGTGTCCAACAATGATGTGACCGGCGAGCCATGCTCGAACTCAAAGGGCGACATCCCGATAGTCGGATGAATAGACGAGTCGTATGCCAACTCCACGTCCAGCAACCGCTCGACCCAATCCTTTTGATCGGGGCGGATGAGAATGCGAAGAAGAACCTGTGTGGTTTGATGCGCTCTCTCTATTGTCGAGCGCATCAACTTCCACCTTTGTCGTAAAACGTGAAGGTCCTCCCGGCCACATCACACAGGAGTTAACAAAGCAAAACAAGAGACAACTTGGGGACAAGACATAAATAATATCGCAGGCCACCGAGACGGACATGGTTGCATTGCCACCTTGCCGCTCTAGTCGGGTGCGCCAATCGTACTTCGCACGGTCTCCTACAAGAGGATAGGTTTTTGCGGGGCACTACTTACCTTCCCTAAGGGGTTGTCACCACCCTTAGGGGTGTATCCCTGCCGAGCTATTGACCCACGTACGAAAGTTGCTCATTTCGCTATAGTACAGGTACGTGCGATAAAAACTACATCGGAACCCGAATGTCGTCCATCCTTAGGGCGCCGATCTCCTAAGTACGGAATGCATGTTAGTCGACTCGGATGTTCTCAACCAAGCGTGAAACTCGCAAGTAATCCTAGTCCCTTAGACATATAACTCGAAAATAAAGTTTATGATAAAATATAATTACATCAAGACGAAACAAACGTAGTCGATAGGAATGTCCATCTGAATTCAACATGAGTTGAAACAATAACTGAATGCACGAACATCAGACAGTAGCCCGGCCTGGACACGTTGAGCAACCCCAGTGGATGGTAGTCCAGCCTGTACTGATCGAACAGGGATCCTCTACCCCGCCTCACTATCCTCAGCAACAACAGCAGCCCCAGGAGGAAAATAGACAGCAGGATGGGGCAGCGCCGGGGCCCCAAACTGCCAAGTTAGTCGGGCCAACAGCTGGGGTAGTACAGGAGAGGGATGCAGGGGGGCCTGCCCTGCTAACAACTCAATGTGTTAATGACGGTAATGGGGATCCGAGGCAACAGGTACAAACAGCAGAACAGCTAGCGGCACTACCACTCGTACCTCGGCCCTTGCTGCCCCCTTTGAGGTACACGGAGAAGGCACCTCCCAGTACAGGCTCGGCAGAGATGGCTGGGCTCGACCCGGAAAAGACCTCCCCCGACGGAAACGAGATACGACCCTCAGGACCCTCAGGACATTTTATAAAGCCCCACCACCAACGACCGAACAGCTAAGCCCCTCTTTGCCAACACCGGTCCGGACAAACAGTAATGGGTTCACCTAAAAGGAATGAATAAGCTGCTGAGATTTGACTTCCTGCATAACCTTACGCAAGGGCTGAGAACACTGATCCCGATAGAAACACACCCACCGTTAAACGAGACAAAGTTACTCCAGGCAGCCCAATCACGGTTACGAACGACCCAGCAGTTGAGGGACCATAGAAGCCTGGACCAGGGATGCGGGAAGGCTCTGCCAAACCTAGCCCTAGGGGCCCAAACACTCACAAAGGACGAAAGGGCCGCAGGGCACACAAAGGAAGGTCATCTCCACGACGGCGGGCCACTGCACCCACTTTCTTCGGGAAAAGATCAGCCTCATTTGCTAGCCCGGCACCTCGCAAAATACTCTCTCAGAGACAGACACCTACAGTGAACAGCCCGTACACAGTGACAAGGGGACTGATAAACACAACGGACAACTCGCAAAAAGTGGCACTCTCCAAGGCAGGGCACCAACTCCCCTGTCACCACCTATGCAGAATGGGGAACACAAGGGGGAATCAGGATCAGGGTCAACGAGCCGCCAAACACCAGGGAAGGATAAAACAGCTAGATACCATACGGGGAAGTACCAGAGACTTCTCGAAGAACAGGAACAGGCAGAACAGGAACTCCAAGAGGCAATTGCCAGGGAAATGCAAGGCGGGCTAGCAGGTCATATGTATCTGTAATGGACACTCCCATCCATGATATCATCTCCGAATATGAAACTAAATCTGATCAAGAATGTATGTCAGATGAAGGAACGACCGACGTAGAGCAGGGGGAGGAAAACCAGGGAACCGCTCCCCAGCAGGCTGCGCTCTCAATGGAACAACAGTCCTTGTTCCACCACCTGGCGTGACAAGCTGCACAAGCCTTACAAGAGCAACAAGAAAAGTGGAGCCAAGCCCATCTCAGAACCCAGCTGATGGAAGCCCAACACTCTACTCAGCTCCAAGGACAAGCTTTTGGCCAGCTACATCTCCTGGATCATGAACAGATGCTGCAAGAAAATCAGTTTTGGCAGACACACCTGCAATGATGCTATACCCCCACCCTCAGTACGGTCTCGCAGGGTCACTGCCTGCCCCAACATCGTCTACAACAAGCTAACCATCACCTACCGCCCTACGGCATGCCCCCCCACATCAA